ATTTAAATTAAGTTATAATTAAAAAATGAATTTCATGTGAGAGATGGAAGATTGTGAAAAAATATATATAATTGTTAATTGACGAAATACCCTCTAACCTTTAGTGATTTTGTGCAATGTCCCTCCTAACCTTTTATTTTGGCACAAACCCCTCGATCAACCAAACTTGATATAATGCAACTCTATTGTCAATTTTTTGTTAAATTATTTGTTAAACTGGTTTGTCAAAGCAAAAACCAATTAAACGCCCAATGGTTTTTCGTTTCCTTGGCTCTCAATTTGCACTTAAGGCCTTGTGTCTTCAAAGTGGCCGTGGGAGAGAAATCGACAAAAATCTATAATTTTCACTCAAGGCCTTCCATCGCATATTCGTGGAGATAATACCCGGTCTGCTAAGATCTAGGAATGCACATGAACAACAAGTCTTGGTATAGAAGAATGCTTTTGAATCTAAAATCTGGATTTTTGGCCTATTTTGTGGTTCTATTGTAATGTGGATAGTGAATAAAGAAAATTAGACTGTCAATTCTATTATAATATTAGAATTTTTTTTCTCTCTTTCGTCTATTTTTATTAGAGGAAATTACACCTACACCTATTTTTAGATTTCCATTTTCAAAAATCATGTCACAAATTTAAAGTTTCAAAAATCAGGTTTTTTTATATTTTTATTACATATATATTATTTTCATCCTAACTAAAATAAATCTAACCCTAAAGTGCATTCTGACCTCCCATCCCATTTTCCCCTCCCCACCCTCTCTCTCCTACCTCCAACCTTGCTCCGTCGGCTTCTGCCGGAGACTACAGACGTCTTACCGCCACCATCGAAGAGTCGCCGCCGCTGTAGAAGTGCAATGAGGCGTTGCAGTGGCAGCGTTGGCGGCGAAAAGAGGGAGGGGAGGACAGCGTCGGCGGCTTCACAGAGAAGGGAAGAGAAGAGGATGGAAGAGATGAGACGGTGCATCGTCGTCGATTCGAGGTTTGACATGGCGGTGGAGGGAATAAGTGAAGCGGAAGACGGCGGTAATCCTCAGTAATCACATTAACATTTTAAACAGCACTACCAATCAAATTGAAAAAGGTGAAATTGGGAATGGAACATTGAGGGCAGTGATAGCTCTGACCCACAAACCCGGCGGTCCTTATTCTTAGTAATAACCATCACTTTTGCAGCCTTTGCATTGGGGATTTGTAGATTTGGAATGAACTTTAATGGCAAAAACTCAGAATCTTGAGAGAAG